ACGTCTATGATGCTATCATGATAAATCTTTAAAGCCCCTGACCCATAGGAGTTAGATCGAGCAGCATACGTCACGATTCTCTAATAAACTGAAACGCATGACCTACATTTTTTGTCTGGGCTGATGGGGGTAAAAGACTTGTTGTTACAATATGGTAAGTTCAAAGTTAACAATGATCAACAAACAAGATTTTGGGAGGACGCGTGGATTGATCAACAACCGTTAATGCGAAGGTTTCCAGAACTGTACATAATTGTAAGGAAAAGAGGGGTATCAGTAGCTAGTGTTTTAAATTCAACACTGCTGAATGTCTCATTTAGGCAGGGATGAGCGGGTGACAGACTAAATGAGTGGCTAAAGCTAGTCTCTTTAGTTCTTCTGGTAAGCCTAAATAATGATAAGGGCAGCTTCATTTGGCAAATAAAAAAGAATGGAGTTTTCTGCACACAGTCATTATATAGGGAATTAATGAAAAGAGAGAGGATTTCAGAGAATAATGTGTTCTGGAAAGCAAAATTACCTTTGAAAATTAAAGCTTTCCTTTGGTACTTAAAGAAAGGGGTGATTTTAACAAAGGATAACTTGATTAAGAGAAGATGGAAAGGAGATACTAAGTGTAGCTTGTGTGGGTTAGAAAAAAATATCCAACATCTTTTCTTTGATTGCCGAATAGCTAGATCGGTTTGGAATACATTGTTCATCACCTTTAACTTTCAACCACCGAAGAGCATTACTCACATGTTCGGATCTTGGACAAGGAGATTTGCTCCTGGACTAAGAAATCAAATAATAGTGGGGATTGCAGCCATGTGTTGGGTATTATGGTTGAATAGAAATGAGGCAGTATTCCAAAATCGAGTTACTAATTCTTGCTTGCAGATACTTTTCAGGGGGACTTTTTGGATCAGGCAATGATCCATGTTGTCTAAAGAGGAAGAGGGAAGAAAGTTGAAGGAGGGCTGCAGGCGTCTAGAAGGTTTGTCACTGCAATTTTTTGGATCCAGTGGGTGGAGGAATCAAAAGAGAATAGAACAGTAATCTTCAGGGGGACATACTGGATCCGGGAATGGTCATAGCTATCTAAAAAGGAAGAGAGAACAGCTATGAAGTTTGGATGCAAGAAGTTGGAAATGATGGTTGGAAATCTTCAGAAGTTCCGTGTGGAAGCAACACAAGAGTTTAGAGAACTAGCTTCTTTTTGCTGTATCCTGAGTGCCAGTGTTTGGACACTACGAGTGTTGCCTGTTTAGCTACAATTTGGAGTTGGGGTTTAGCTGTTTAGCAGTCTTTAGTTTGGCTGCATCCTATGCGCTGTGTTTAGACACTGCAAGGGTCGTTTGGTTATCAGTAGTCTGGAGTTGGGGCTAGTCTGCTTAGCAGTCCTTGGTCTTAGACCATGGTTTTGTATTGGTTCAGTTTGGTTGTACCCATTCGATTATGAATGTGGGAGACCGGAATACATTTGTTCCTTAATCTAAAAAAAAAAACCTAAGAACACAGCATGTAGAGTAGCGATAGTGCGATGGACTAATAACGATAAATGAGCTGCCTAGCAAGTGGTGTCAAGCGTAGAAGTGGGAAAATTGAATGACTTTGAAGAAATGCAGAGCTTTCGTGGGATTATGTGACAGAGAGCCATTTTATGACAATTTGGATTGGTGCAATTTGGAGGTCAAGGATGAATTTTCAACCCATAAAAATTCAAACGGTACAAAAAATTACCAAATCCAAGTGAAAAAGGCGATATATCTGAAATTTCTATGAAATTTCACACAAGCATATTATTTTTAGAGTTTTAGGGCTATGCCCCTGCCATTGCATAGTAACAACGACCAACAAGTTTATAGCATCCGGGTATAACCCAAAGTTAAAGCATAGAAATAGGCTCAAACTGAAACTTTGAAGGGACAACACCCACAAACACACCACTTACATCAACCAAACTCCTCTCTCATCTTTAAGAAACCAACCCACTTTCCCTGCTGAAAAACATTCTCCATCGGCACGAAATCCATTAGGAGACCTTTTGCTTCAGCTGGAGAACTAGAAGTCCAGTCCAGCGCCATGTTGAACAAGCATTCATCACCCCTACCTTTCACTTGTTTTAGCCAATCCTTAGTGGTCTTGTGGCCAAAGCTTTCAGCGTCAACTATGTGGTATGGTACTCCACCCTCATCTCTGCTGGACCGAGGGTAGTCCACCTTTGTAACATGCCAAGGATCATTGTCAGCAAGGGCTGCTCATTTTTCCATTGGGAGCCCTGAAAACACAAATTATTCCTTAATTTCCAACGCCCCCTATAGGGCTGCAGCACAGAAAACATTCTCTACCCTAAACTTCTTCTCGACCACATCTGGCCTATTGAAAGGATATCTATACCTAAATTTCTTCCTAGGATTTCAGAAACACCACACCACAGCTACATGGCAAACACACAATCAAAAAAGAGATGACCAACATGTTCATTCTCCTCACAAAACAAACATGACACGTCATCTACTTTCCTGTGGACACTAAGGTTGTCTCTACTTAGCACCTTGCTTTTAGACAACAAACATAGGAAAAATTGCACTCCAGGTGGAATTTTAAGGTTCCACACATGAGGAACATTTACTGGCATAATGCCTCTAAAATTGATGATTTTATAGAAGGGCTGAAAGGAGTAAACTCCATTTGAATTAAACAACCAGGTCAAGGAGTCCTCATCATCAGCGAACACAATGGTAGAAGCCAGCTGCACTACCTCTAACCAAAGGTTCATAAGCCAACTATTAACCCCTCTTCTAAAGGTACATTTAAGGTTTGTACCATCCCAGAGATGAAAGATAGTCTGTGACTTCTCATTAACTAAAACATAAATCTCCCAAAACTAAATAGCTAGACAGAAGGACCCAACCAATTGTCCTCCCAGAATTTAACTTTTTTATCATTCTCTATCTTCCACTTGTAACCCATTTTTGTAGCAGTAGCTGCCCAAATCATACCTTTGAAAAAGCTAGAAGTACCAGAGGTCCCACTATAGAAGATATTTGGGCTCTCAGTATTATATTTATGATCAATTATTTGTTTCCACAACTTGTTACCATCTATATTGTATCTCCTAGTCCAAGAAGCTAGGAGACAAACATTCAAGTCTCTCAAATTAGGAATTCCCAAACCCCCATACTCCTTCATCAAACTAATAGTTTCCCCAATAGACTAGATGGAACTTATGGGCACCTTCATTGTCATTCCACAAACAGTTTGCCATATGAGAGTGGATGACTTTATTTGCCCACTTGGGAAACTTGAGGAAAGAAAGAAGGTATATATAGAAATACTGGACAGACAAGCCTTAAATAGCACAATCCTAGCTACAAAAGATAATAATTTGCCTCTCCACCCTACAATTTTTTTTCAGTATCTTATCAACTAAAGGTTTGATATCTTCCCTTCTAAGCTTTTAATAGTGTATGTGAACACCTAGGTAATTAATAGGCAAGGATCCTAAGGGACAAGCGAAAATATGATTAATATCATGGGCTAACTCCTCACTCAGATTCATAGGTATGAGCTCACTCTTATGAAAGTTCATCCTCATGCCTGAAAACTGCAAGACTACTACCAACTATGGAGTTTAGTGGAGGGTTTTGGTTGTGGCATGCCGGCATCCGTTGCAAGTGCAGAGGGGTGTGGCAAGCATTTTCTTGGGGACTACCTTCAATGGCTCGTATCTGTTGGGTTGGCTCTGGTCCATGTTGACCGGCACGCGGTTGCGACTAGCCACACATGACAGTGGCCGCCTCACTGCCGCTGCGACAACCAACGAATGGCGGCTCGTTGAGGACGACAACTTATGTGGAAATGCTCGTGGCTTCTCTAGAAATTTGAGGGACGACGTTGTGCAAGATGTCGCTCTTCTCTAGAAGCATGGTGCAAGAACAAGGTGTGGCTTCACACGGTGGCTGGTGCTAAGTAGGACGGATGTGGCCCTTGTACACTAGCGTGGGGCGATAGGTCACTCATACCTATGACCTCATCAGTGCCACAACGATCTCCAACTAGCAGTGGTTTGTTGCGGTACTTGCCTATGCCAAGCCACAGTGTAGCTGGTTTGGGGCATGAGCATGGGGGGTCATCGAGCGAAGGTCCTACAACTGTGGCCGACAATGGTGTCTCGCCTTGGTGTCACTTCCCTTGTTGGAGGCATTGTGGTAAGGCCCCCTCACCCTCTAAGAGTTCGGTTGAAAAACTTTGGTTCTCCTGTCAGCGTTGACGGCATCTGTGGACGTCGTTTCCTGTCTCATTGGAGGCATCGCTGTGGAAAACCTACTCCCGCCTTCTAGTTTACTGTGCTTGTTCACTGTGGTGTGCCGGGCGGCATTTGACGGCTGTTGCTTCTGAGTTTCATTGGTGTTTGTGTTTCTTGTGGTCATGATTTCGTTGTCGCCTCCTTCGTGAGGGTGTTGTTTTCATTTTTTTATTATTATAAAACACTTCTTCTCTATTAATATATGTTCGCTAGGCTCTTCCCGCTGACTCTTCGAAAAAATATCTAGACATATAGTAAAAACAATGTATCGAGAAAACTAAAATATCTTATAATATGAAATAGAGGGAGCAATAAGTAGCATAATATCCATACACAATGAAGATAATCTTACATTTCGGTTTAGTGCCACTGTTTACTCCTTTCATTACAAATTATAAGACGTTCTGGTTTTACTAGATTCATAATTTTTACTATGTACTTATATATACACTATATTTAGATGTATAGTAAAAGCAATTTATTTAGAAAAGTTAAAACATCTTATAATTTGTAATTGAGTGAGAGTACTTATAAAGTCAAGGAATCTATAAGACATTCTGACATTACTAGTAATAATCTCATTCGTACTAATTAACTATACGTGTACGTGTCCCGCGTTGAATTATATGACATGTGATACAACATGAACGTAACCATCAAAATATGGAAGGACGAGCAGATGTGTATGTTCATTCGACCCCTCAATTCTTCAGAAAGTCTCGCAGTTAGCCGCCTGGAAGGACAGCACCGATTTGTCCAGGTCGTATCGGATGTGGTAGTCCATCTGGATGATGTTGCCGACAATGGACCTGTGGCTGGGCGAGCTCTGCACGATCCAGCAGCTCACGCTGTCGTCCACCGCCCTGAAGTAGTTCTCCGTCCTGAGGGCCATGTCACCGCCGTCGAAGTGCAGCACCATGGACGGGAACACAGCGCCGGACGTCTGGAAGCAGACCTCGTACCCATCCGTGCCCGGAACCCTCGTGAGGTTCGTCGCCTGCGACAGGAGCGCCACCTTGGCGAGCGTGTACGCCGGCTCCGCCAGGAACGTCAGCGTGGTGCCGGAGTCGAAGATGATGCCGTGTCTCCCAGTCCCGGGTGTCGTCGCGGCGCCGATGGAGATACTAGTCAGGTTCACGGTGTAGTAGGTGGACGTCTTGAGGAGCGGCGTGGACTGGACGCCGGCGCCTGTCATCAGGTCGCCGGCGGCGCCGAACAAGAGAGCGCTCGACTTGGAGGTGTCGCTGGTGAGGCAGTAGGAGAAGGCGCCGACCTTGAGCTGCCTGACGAGGGACAGCTTCCCGCAGCCGAGCCCAACGAGGCCGGAGCCGGAGCCGTACCAGCCCTCCGACATGGTCGTGCAGCCGAAGCCGATGCCTCGCACGGCGTCGCCGCCGAGCGTGAAGGTCTCGCTCGCCATGTAACCCTGCGTGTAGTGGTGCGGGTCACTGGCGAGGCCGTACGAGTACTTGTAGTCGCACACCGCGCCGCTAGCGCTGGCGCTGGCGCCGGCACCGCCGCACGTCGCCAGCGACTGGGACTCCAGCGTACGGCAGAGGCCGCTGGAGCACGGCAGCTTGGAGAAAGACGACGACTTGTTTGGGTAGTAGGAAGGGGAGCCCTGCGGCGCGCACCGCTAGCACGCGCCGCACTTAGCCCAGATGAGGTCGCTGCCGGTGTCGGCGAGGGCCGACAGCTTCTGCGGCTGCGTGCCCATGGAGAAGGTCATGTCGTATGCGCCGCCGCTGCTGTCCATCTGCAGCGGCGTCTGCGCGCTCCCTGACCCTGAGGCTGCTGCGTCAAGCAGCAGGGCGGCGAGGATGGACAGCCGTTGGCGAGACTTGTGCGCCGCCCGCGTTAGGTTGATGGCCGGTTGGTTGCGGGTCATGGTGGCACGGAAGAAGCCTCGGCGTTCGGAGTAGGCCGGAGGAGCGGCGAGGAGGAAGCAGATCGTCACGAGAACGAGGATGGACGATCTTGTCGTCGCCATTCACAACCAGAATTTTAGATTTCTACCACTGACGTGCGCTTCTCCTAGTATTTTGACATTCAAAATTTAGTATAAATTTTCTCTACTAAATATCTCCTGGTGAGATTTTCTTGTGCTATGACTAATGATACTGTTTTAGAATTCTACAATTTTGGTAGGGATTTCTGGACATCGAAGGATTTCTACCTGGTGCGACGATGACGACGATGATGACTAGGTACGAGTATGAATATATAGATTCAGGAGTCCACGATGCCAAGTGTGTACAGTCGTACGTGATTTACCTTTACACAAAAAGACCACGCGCAGCGTTTTATCCACGGCATTTGGAAAACCGGACACAAATAACAATGATGAAATGATGAATTCCTTGTAACGACATCGCAAATGGAGTATACCAACTCGCAGTACACGCTGGCCTATCCCATGGAACTAGGGATGAAAACGGTACGGATATTTTCCGACCGTATTTGAAACCGAATCCATTTAGAGGGGTTGAGATATGTTCGTATCCGAGTCCGGATATCCAACATCCGATACCGTATCCGTATCCGAATACTCAAATCGCATATTTATGACGTCGATATCCAATCGTATCCTATCCGACATAGTTGACACTATCCGTATTCGAATCCAAATCTGGACAGAAATATAAAAACAAATGTAATATCGGTGATATCCGTCCGTATCCGATCCGTTTTCATCCCTACATGGAACACTTCCGAGTGTGAAGCCGTGTGTATTACTAAGGCATCTTTTAGCACATCTCAACTTCAAAAGTGAAGCTATTTTTGAACAGCTTTCTTAGTAAATAAGCTGAGCTATTTTAGAAAAAATTTTGTGCAAAACACTTCACCAATAGCTTCATGCATACCTGAGAGAGAAATTAGAAAGAGAGTTTTGTAAAGCTACTTTTTTCACCTTCATCTTTATCTATTCCTTTGTGAGAGTATAAAAAAGAGCTTCACCCCATGAGCTATTTTGAAAAAGAGGTGTTTAACAAAAAAAAAAACAGACAGCTTATGAAGCAGTAGCGGAACTAGCTAGGTGTGGCTAGCAGGGGCCAAGGCCCCCCAAACATCTAACAAACTTTTATTTACCTTTGCTGCAATCACTGTATCTGTAATTATTTTCAAGTGAAAGAGACATTGAATGTGCTATCTCCATGTGTTATCTTGGTCTTGGCCCCTCCTGAGTTGTACGGATGGTTCCGCCTCTGTTATGAAGTCATTGGTGGAGCTATGTGTCGGCGTTTCGCACAACGTACTAGTAAATTTGTATTTTGCGCGTCTGATCCGGATGGTGTGCTAAAAGGACACAAGGATTATACTGGTTCGGGTCGAATATCCCTATGTCCAGTTTCGGGCTACTCGTGTTACTAGCACTGAGTTTGTAGTAGGGGGTTACAAACTGACGAGAGAGGGAGGAGCTCCCAAGTCTCTGTGGTTCGATTGCTCAATGCTTCTACTGCTCGATCTATCAGTCGATTGAGCTCTTATGGTGTGATGTGCAATGCCCCTTAGTGGGACGCCCTGCTTTCCCTTTTATAGGCCAAGAAAAAGCAAGGGTTACAACAGAACGGAAGAGGGGAAAAAGAAAGAGAAATAAGGCTCCCGGAGGTGTGTCGTTCTCCTATTCATGTGGGTCCCGCTGACCCTATAGATCGTGGTTGCAGTGGCGTCGTACCGGGGTCCTGTTGGGCACTGCAGCATGCGTGCGGGCGTCGTGCGTCGTTCTTGTCTTCCATCCCATCCAAGCGGACGGAATGGTCAAAGGGTCCCCTGACAGAGGCCATGCGGGGGGCTGGCGGTACAATGCCAGTCAACTGACGTCGGTTGACTGACGTTGGATGGTGGTCGGGCAGGGAGTTGGTAGCACAGTGCCGCCCTATTGACACGGTGGGCGATGTGAGTCTCCCAGCATGGCCTGAAGCGACCGTCAGTTGTATCAGGACGCGTCCGAGATGTGCCTCCACGCCGTAGTGCTTGAAGCGGTTCGGGTCCCATCCTAGGGCCACTGCTTTTGTCCGGTAGCAAATTCGACCCCTAGGGAACGGGCGAGGCGGAAATCTCATCCTAGGGGCCAAGCGAGACGGAATCTGACCCTCGGGGGTCAGACGAAGCAGAGCCCTCCCTGTGGGACCGGACGAGTCAGAGCCCATGCCTTAGGGTCGGACGAGGCGAAAACCTCGTCCTCAGAGTTGGACAAGGCGTGGCCCAGCCCCTAGGGGTCGAACGAGGCGGAAACCTTGTCCTCGGAGTTGGACGAGACGTGGCTCGGCCCCTAGGGATCGAACAAGGCCGCAGTTGCATCCTTAACCATCGGATGAGGCGATGTGACGCTCATTAATCCTTTGGCTTGGATACCCGGGTATAGGTATCCGACAGTAGCCCCTGAGCCTTTAGAGGGGTGAGACACTCCTGCAAAGGCTTTTTGCGATTTGTTGCTCCTATGGCCATTGTGCCATGTAGGGTAACCGAGTAGGATTTAGGCACCCAGCCTGCATGTGGGGGACTGGCAAAGTGGATACGGGCGCCCAGCCCCTGAGGAGGAGATGCGCTGGTAATCCGTTTTCCATCGGGTGCGCGCTAGAGCACCTGGTGGGTGTAGCCCCTGAGCCTTTGGGGAGTGAGACACTCCTACAAAGGCTTTTTGCGATCCGTCACTTGAGGGCGCATGGGAGTACTATTTGTTATTGTCGCTTTGCAGGATGGCGAGCACATGAGCCTCTAGGGGCCAGTCGCCTGGTTTCTTGCGTCACTCCGTTCGTGGTTTCCGCAACCAGAGGTGACTCGTCGTTTGTCTACGACAGCGTGTTTGGTCTCTTTGCGATGCTGAGCCCCCGAGCCCCCGAGCCCCCGCACATAGCAGGGGTCCAGTCGGGGGGTTAGTTCGTCTTGTGATCGTCATCCCTCATGCGTCCATTCGCTAGAACAGAGGGCTGAGCCATGCCGTGCTTTCCTCGCTAGACGGAGCACGGTGCTTGGTGAGTTGTTAACAGGCTTGTTCAAGTGGAGTCCTAGCATCCCCTTTGCGAGGGCCTGGTTCGAGGTCAGCTGGTGACTGACTCCAGATTCTTGGTGGCCAGTCCATATAGTTCTTGGATCCGTTCGACTGGTCTGAGGGCTCGATGCCTTTCTTCGGGAAAAAACCATGGACCTTGCATCATCCGAGACTCGAAACGAGGGTCGGGACACCCGTGGCGCTTTGTGCGCTGCGGGTATTGGCCGCTAGCGGGCCTGTCCTTAACCTCCCCTCACTCTAGGGTGCCCTAGAGTGGCCATGAACCCACTGGTGGGCCAACCTTCAAACTCCTGGGCGTTAATGGGTTGTGGGAGCATTTTTAGCTCCATAGCCCTACTTACCTACGGTGACCCATAGCCTTTGAAGGCGAACTGTCGCCCGGTGGATCCTTCGCGGGGAAGATTTGGATAGGCATATGCTCATCTCTTGAGGCAGCGATGTGACTAATGTAGCGTGAAATAATGAGGGTACGACCCCTGAAGGAAACAGATCTGGCAAGGCATGGGGCACGTTAATTTAGGCAGACGGTTCGCCCCTCACCCGTTCCGCCCTTACCATATAAACAGAGCTGTTTCTCCACAGCCTCCGTACGTGCAGTCGCATCCTTGCCTCTCCCGTCTCTCTGCCTCTCGCTCTCAAGTTCCAACCTTCGTTCCCCTATTTCCACTCTGCCACCGGTCAAGCTCTCCCTCTCCAGCCCTACGTCACTACCGGATCTTCAGCATCGCCATCGCCGTTCCTCAATGGAGCCGTGGCCTCAGCCGATGTTCTCCACGCGCGCATGGAGCGTCTAGTTAAGAAAGGCCTTCTCCACACAAGGACCACGGCGATGGAGTATATCGTACCTGGTGGCGAGGATGAGCCATCGCCGCCCGACGGCTACATCATTTCCGTCGTCCCCTTCCACGAGCGTGGGCTCGTGACTCCTCCCCACTGATTCCTTCGAGGGCTGCTGCACTACTACGGGATTGAGCTACAGCATCTAAATCCCAATGGGATTCAGCACATCTCGGCCTTCGTCGTGCTATGCGAGGGGTATCTAGGGATCGAGGCCCACTTTGAGCTATGAAAGTACTTCTTCACCATCGAGCTGCAGAAGAAGAAGGATAGAAAGAAGCCAGACCTGGCGGTGCTGATGGGATGTACGAGCATCCGTCTTCGAGGCAGCTGGTCGTCGAAGTACATGTCCATCCCATTGTTGAGGTCCAACAAGGGGTGGCATAAGCTCTAGTTCTACCTAAGGAACGCTGCCGCCGCCCCCCTGCCGATCTTCACTGGCCGCCTGATCGAGGAGGCGCCGGACGTGTGGAGGTATGGGCCCATCGGGAAGGAGCAAAAGAGGCTCGGTGACCTCCTCAAAGCCATCGTGACTCTGAAGGGCCGCGGTCTTCATGGGACAGCATCATCAGAGTGTACCATGTCAGGAGGCTGGCGCCGCTGATGGCGTGCACTCTTCTGATGTGGAAGATGACACCGGATTCCGTGCCCAAAGGGATGGTGATGGTCGCCGGTGAGGCCCTTAGCATTGGTGAAATGGCACAATGCATCAAGGAGTCGATGGAGTGCTCGGCGGATCTGTCAGTGGATCTCACCCCAGTGTACCCGGTCCCGAGGCATCCCACGATGCGGCCAAACGCGGGCTTCATCGAACTGGTAAGCCTTCTTTGAGTTTCTTTCCTTGGTCAACCCTCCTCTATTCTCAGATTCTAAGCACCAAGATTTGTAGCATGGCCTCTTCAACCATGTGTCTGAACCTCCACTGCCAGAGGATGTGGCCAGGAGGGCAGTGAAGGTGAAGAAGGAGCGAGCAAAGCTCCAATGCGGAAAGCACCGACAAGGCTCGGAGGATAGCGACGGTGACGAGGAGGAGGAAGAGGAGGAAGAGGAGGAGGAGGCGTTCGACCCCAATATCCCATGGGGCGCACTTGCGCTTGAGGATGAGCAGATCGAGACAGGGCAGGTCAACTTGACCCTGA